AAAAAAAAAAAAGAATGACGCGACTCCCGAGCTCAACGACCTCGCCCCTATACACGCCAACGACAGCTCCAAAGCGAGGTGCCGGAAAACCGCGATAGATAGAGAAGCTCGCGATTGTACGGAATCGGAGGCGCCCACCTCGCGTTCCTTGAACTCGCCTATTTTCAGAATGTGGAGCTGGCTAGACCCCTACCTGGCTCCCTTCGCCGTTATCTCCCCCGTATTTTTAAACCCGCCTCTTTTATCGCGTCCGGTCTCGGCCGAGGTCGTTTGTTCGGGCCAACGATATGGACCGAGCGAGCTTACTTGGACATTTTTCGTTCGATGCGAATCAGTGGCCAATGGTACTGCTTCTTTTTTAGCCAAACTCGAAGAGAGCGAGGTAGTCACTCTGGCAGAAACGTTCGACAAACGAAATGTCCAAATCAAAGTGAGTTTTGGTGCATTATTGAGTTTGTGTGTGTTTTAGTGTTGTTATACCATCAACTACTGTTTATTCATCAATAACCCATTCTTGATTTAGTCGGTAGGTACACGTGTGTATGGTGTCACGTTGCAAATGCATGGAGGAAATAAGATTCATCGTCTTTAGTGGATACGAGGGCGTGTAGTGCAACTTGGATGAAACGTTATCTCATCGAGTGCGTACAAGAGGGCGATAACAGAATTGTTGGTTTTCACCAGTGAGGTGACGATAAGGAAATTCTGGCTCTTTTCCTCCTCGCAAGAGTTGAGTGAAGCAGGGACAAGATGCGCTCGTAATTGCATAATTTGTGGTAAATGAGAATTCGGGATAATTCGTGGTTTAAGGAGTTTTTACGATTTTGTTGGTACTAACTATTGTATTTTATCGATGCGTCGATGGAAAAACGTATCATTATGAAAATCTATCTTTTTCAGAATGTGCTGTAAATGGCGTATATGATTTTGACGAAAATCTCATTTTGTTTCATTTTTTAGGAGGATACAATTAGACAATCTTTCTTGCACTGAAACAGTCTTTAGTATGAAAAATAAATTTTTTTTTGATATTTGTGTACCTACTGAACTGTCGTTTGTGGTATTTCTAATAATACGTAAAAATTTTACTGTATTACATGGAGCACAAGGTTAAGAATTAATTGTATCCACTACATTGTCATTACTGTTTTCAAGCTATTTTTTACAATTATGCTCTTAGTAAGTCAAAACATGGTTGTTGTCGAGCTTTACCATTATGTAAGACAGCTCTATTAATTATGATATTTTTGGTGTAATGAGGTAACGCGCTTTTATTATACATTTTTTAAATGACACGTTCTTCCACTCACTTAATGTCATACCAAGAGATTTTTTTTCCGGACGACTGGTTTTTTATTCCAAAAAATACAATAAAATTAATTTCTCAACGGATGACGTGTGTTTCATAAAATAGTCATTAATCGAACGCACAGTATACGTAGTGCACAGACACATATTTGACACAAATCGAAATGATACGCATAACTTTATAAATAATTTTCAATGAGGTGTACAGTGTCTGGAATAAACAATTATTAAAAAATCACTACCCATAATACAACCACTCCATTGTTACTCAAACGTATCTTGATTTCGTTGACGCGAGTCAAATATTTGTTCAACATCGGAGGCGAAAACAAAATCGTTAAACTGCCCACACGTCCGAGTTTTTATGAACTTGAACCATACCCACCTATGTGATACCAAAAAAGTAGTGAAACTATAGCTAAGATTGGAAAGAGAAAGTAATTAGTATTTACAATTTTTTTTTTTTGTGGATCACGCTTTTATTTCATAAATTGACAAGAATAAAAAAGATGTATGAGGAATTTATATTATACTTAGGAATGATTCACTGACAAGTATTTTATGAGCAATGCTTCAACATTAGCAACGAGTAATCAAAATTTATATTTTTTACGCTCGACGAGTCACGAAACAAGTCTCAAAAATGCCAATGGCCCGATGTATACTCCACTTTTTGTTGATTTGCAATTACATCATTCATATTAAATCGCAAACAATATAAAAAAAAAAAAAAAAACCATACTATCCGAATGTACAATTATACCAATATCGAAACCAAAAGCTCCGAAAGCGCCAACATCCCCACGGCGAGAAAAGCTTCTGCCTCACGCACTTCCTGGACGGCAACACGCACACTTGTAAGTGCACGCGTGTACACGCCGTAGGCGGCTCGTCGGCGCGTCTTCGTCACGGCCCGCGAGTCAGTCGCGCCGAGTCCGCCCGCGCGTGTGAACGAACGAACGAACGAACGCGAGTCTCTTTTTCCTTCCTCCTCTTTTTTTTTTTTTTTTTTTACTTATTTTCTGCCGCGCCGCAAAGGAGGAGTTGGCAAACAACCCAACGGGACATTCGGCCCGATGGGACGGTCTTGGAGCTCTTGTAAAATAAGTACTGTGATTTTCAGTGACGGCCGAGTTTCACTTGTGACACGGTAGTGTTCGCGAGTCCCGAAAATGTTCAGCATGTGCTTGTTCAACTGCACCAGAGGTATACATACCATTGCAAAAGTTAAATTTTGCTTCCGTTTAAATTTGCGTTAGCTTTTCTTTTCATGTCGCACATTCACACTCCAAGTGCTTGAGAACTACAGTTGATCAACAGCTTAATAGTTTCAATTTTGTCATGCATCGCAAAAAGCTAAATTAAACTTATCGAAAGTAAAAATTGTACTTTCATGTAAAAAAAAAACACCGCGACAGAGCAAAGCGAGACGAACACAATCTCATTTCACCTCGAAAAGGTGTATGAGTCAGATCGTGCGAGGAGAACAGGAGATAATATTATCTACGAGTGTACCCTACCTCCGCGCGTGTACGAAAAAAGAGAAAACCGTCTAGACCGTGTAGCTCCGAGCTCTTTTTTGTCCCTCGTTTGTGGAAAAAAAAAAAAAGGAAACCTCACCGAAGGAAAACACATCCTCGCGCACCAAAGTACCATTTTTTCAGATCCCGCGGCGGGAATCCCAAGCTCGCCGGATCGCCTCGAACGCTCCGCGTGTACAAACGCTCCCTATATATACGTATACACCCGTACAACCCAGCGCCTCGTCGGCATCAGCAATCTCGGCTCGAAGATTATTTTTTTCGCCGCGCTGGAATTCCCGGCACGCCGCGTTTTCGCTCCTCCATATATGTATACGTCTGTGATATGTATACGTATACGAAGAGAAGAAAATATATTGTATAGGTGCACACACTGACGAATGCAATTCCCTCGCTTATAATATACGCACATGTACGGCTCGTAATTGTTAAATCCTCCTTTATACGCAGCGTTTGTTCCTTTTTTTTACGTATATGTATATATAGGTAAGTATACGTGTAGAGTCGAATTCCTTGGGATCTCAAACACGCTAAGATTATAATTATATATGCGCAAGCTGTTTTCGCCAAAAGCATTTTAAGCAGCCTGTCCGTGCGCATGTTTATGTATGAAGATATTGTACATACAGGTATATATATATACATACGGAGGGACATTGTAACGTATTATATACCTACTTTCTCGCGACGACGACTGCTTTCTATGCGTGAATGATCCACTTGCCGTTTCGTATATACGTAGAAAGAGATAAGTAAACCTGTATATTATGGTGAAGGTATTATATTATAGGAGGATCCGAGCTTTTTGTATTTTATTTTTCCTATGTTTCGATAGCGCAGTTTTCCTCCGGTACTCAATTGTGGATAAACGATCCTTAACCCCTGCAAAGTGTATTATATTGTATACAGTTGCGAATAAAGAAATTCCGCAATCGACGAAAACTGGCTCGTGAAGGTGGTATACTTACCTGAGTGCTGTTACAACGTTAGCCCATTACTGTACACGCGTGTGCGTTACCCACTCATTATAATATATTGCATGCGAGGCTTATACCATGCGGCACGTGCAATAAAACATTTCCTAAACGATGAATTATTATATTGTTGGGTTGGAAACCGCTGGAAAATATGTACTTGTAATATATTACAACGGTCATTTCAGTCAAACGATATGAAAGATTTTTTTATTTTTTTTTTTGGAAGGAAAACCTGTTATGATCATATTTACATTGCGTATATTCGTACGGGGGGAAACACCGAGGTGGTTATTCTGTTTTTATAACAAGTGAGAAAGCGCGGTGTAGGTGAATATATTCAACAAGGTGTCAAAGAGGGCAAAGGGTATATAATTTTAAATCATGAGAAAGAAGAAATTATTTACTTTTTAAGTAAATGAGATTTATTACTTACCGATATTTTACCTCGAACAAACTAACGGTTTAAAAAAAAAAAAAGGAAATTAACGGTAGCACGCGACGTTTGAAAAACGATTGAAAAACGCTGTAAATACATGTACTCTTTCGTACAAATTAAGATTATGAATTTCTGGATTCTTTACAAACCCCAATTGGACAGTAGAAGAATACAGTGTCCCATCGTCAACATGCAAATGAGCGCATCAGAAATCCGGAAATGCTATAAGCTAGGTCGGGCAAACAAACGAAAGAACACAACGTTCCAACAGTAGACGCTCAATAACTTTGTAAGTTTTTCTAGATGGCCGTCAGTTTTCCTTGAAAAGTAAAGAAAAACGGCCAACAAATGATTTTCCATTGACCGACTCGCGGTATAAAAAAAGGCCCATGAATCACGTTTCACGCGGATCAGCTTCCATATATATATTATACACTCCTCTCCGTACGCACGACAGCACCGACACGAACGATCTAATGCGAAACACTAACGTGGCATTATCCTCTTTTTTTTTTTTGCATCCGCATCGTCCTTAACCACCGATCCCTCGATACGAAAGAAGCGACCTCGTGGACCCCTCACAACCACCTATTAACACACGTGCAAAAATTGATCGACCTTTCCCCGAACTGTTGCAGACGCCTCGCCAGTCCGATGGCCCCGCCGGCGTTCCTCGAGCTCCGACAAGTCCGAGCGTCACTGCTACAACGTCCAGACCTCGAGCGTGACGACCGAGCGCGTGGCCTCGTCCTCTCCGGGCAAACGGGACAAGAAGAAGAGGAGGAAACAGTTCAAGAAGTATACCGAGCAGGAGGAGCGCCGAGACGGTGGGACCAAGCGCACGCCTCTGCTCGAGCGGGTGTGCCGGCTGGGTCCGAGGGACAACCAGAGCGAGCTGTGCATCAACGACCAAGACGACCAGGAGGACGAGGAGGAGCGGGCAACGGCGGCCCAGCAGTTCCGCTCGATGTGCGAGCTGAGGGTCGGCGGGGTGCCCGGGCTCGCGCGCTCCGAGCTCCGGCGGTCGATCTGCGAGACGGACCTCGAGAGACGCGCGGGGGAGGAGGAGGAGGGACCGAAGTTGAGGTCAAAGTCGCAGAGCCGGGTGCCCTTTGCGGGGGGTGACAACCGGTCCGAGGACAAGTTCGTGCTGTTTGGGTTCAAGCAGAACGAGAGCCCGAAGCCGAGCAGGAGGCGGAGGTGGCGGAAGAGCAGGGACGCGCTGTGGCAGGGGGGCGCCGAGGGAGTGATCGAGAAGGGAGGAAAGGAGCGCTGCGACAGTCTCACGCCTTCAAGCTGTTTGGCGGCCAAGTTCCGGGCCATGCAGAACAGGTCGGGGGAACGATTTTTCTTTTTCTTTTCTTTTCATTGTCTTGCTTTGACGATCATCAGGTCATCTGATGCGTTTGGGACATTCATGTGTTTATGCTGGTGTATTGTGTGCCAATTTACTGGATGGCCTGGTTTTTGAGTCTTCACGGTATAGACCGCTATGAAGTTATTGAACTGTGACGATAACGCTTCACCGAGAAAGTTGCAAGGAGTCGATCGGCACAATTCTTTCATGGATTTTCAAACGCTGTGGGAAAAAATGTTTTTTTTTTTTTTTTATGTATAAAGTGCATTATTTTTGTTGAAAAATTGTTTATCACTGCCATTTGCAATAAAAATGTTGAGACAATTTTTTTGCATCACATGAGTGCCATACATTTCGAATATGATAGTGTATTGTGAAGTCTTTGAAAGGAATTATTTCATTACTTTGATTTCTTTTTTTTTTTTTAATTTGCAATGCATATGTGGTAGTTGAAAATAAATTTTTCTGAAAAAACATTTACAATGCCATTATACTTTTAGTAAAAAAATATTTCTCTAAAGAATTGAGAGAGTATCTGTATCGGAAGTCAATAGGGGCATGTGAAGATCGGTCAAACGGGTTGACGCTTAAATCGTTAAAAATACAATACTATGTCACGATGGCACAGTCTTATAACAGTAATTTATTTGTTTTTGCTATCGTGAAACTTACTAAGTTTCAAATATATCATCTAAATAATTTTTTATTAAATAGCTACAAAAGTTTCTAAGAGAAAAATATTTACTTCTTCCACATCACTCATGTGAATCTGTCATGTGTTTTTTTATAACGTAACTAAGTTACACTGTGTAATATGAAATACCTTCAAACGAATCTTTTTTTTTTTATATCGTTTTACATACGTAGATAATAAAAAACATATATTATGATTATGTGAGTATTTTGGTAGATGATGAGAGCCCATAATGATTGGAGCATTAATAAATGACGAATTGAATTTGGTCACGTTGACGCGTTTCACTGATTGGCAAAACGCTCAAAAGCCTTTTCCGGCCACAAATTGAAGGCAGTTAAAAAAAGGACCATTATTTATTCTAATTACAATCATAGATTTAGTTAAATTTTTCGATGGAAAAAAAATTTGGCTTAACATTAATTTTAATAGACGGAGACTTTCGATATTTGGCTCAAAAAAACAACTATTGTCAGCTTTTTCTTCACCGTTTTTTCATCAAAAAGATTACCAAACTTGTTAAAATCACAAAAATCATGAGTAAAGACATAAGTAGTTGTTCCATGAGTCTCGCGAAACTTTCGCGTGCCCATCCCTACGTACAAAGCTGTAAGAAAAAAAAAGCTCACAACGCCCCTATTCGTTTCTGCCCAGGTACCTGAAAAGCTCGACGAGCAGGCTGATCGGTAAGCTGTACAAAAAAGAGAGCGCCACCTGCAGCAGCAACAACAGCCTCAGCAAGGACCAAAAGAGACTGCGCAGCTTCTCCTACGGCGCGCTTCCCGGCCTCGACGAGCTCCGCACGAACCCGCTCTTCGACGAGCACGAGCAGCACCAAGACCGCGACGAGGACAACGACTCCGGCATCCTCGACAATGACTCCGCGACCAGCTCCCTCCTCGACGACCGGTGCAGCAGCGTCGCCTCCGAGACCCCGATGGTCACCAGCCACGACACCGCCACCCTCGCCCCACCAAGGATACCCCCCCGAAGACCCAGCGGCCCCTCCGCTCTGTACAAACGGGGCCTCCGGCTATTCCAGAGCACCTCGCTCCTCGACGCTCCCGAGGTCGCCCACGCCACCCCAATCCCCACTCAGCCTCCACTGGTCACCTGCGATGAGCCCCAGCAACCAAAGGAACCACAAGGAGACAAGGGGGAAGGACACCTAGAGTCCGGCGGTGCCCTGTCGGTGATACGGAGCAGCGCGAGCGTGAAGAAGACCCTGATCGTGAAACTGCAGCGCGAGACGAGCGAGCAGAGCCTGGGCATCTTCATAGCCAAGACCCCGGACTCGGCGGGCTACCTCGTGGCCCACGTGGTGCCCGGTGGGCTAGCGGACCGCGAGGACAGCCTCAGGATCGGCGACGAGATCCTCATTGTGAACGGCAAGCGGCTGCGGGGCCTGACCATGCCCGAGGCGCGCAAGATCCTCAGCAGCGGCGCCAGCGGGGAGATCGACATAGTCGTCACGCGGATGACGCCACCTGGCGGGAACTCGTTGGCGCGGAAGAGGCTGCTCGAGAGTAGCGTCGACTACGAAAACGTGAGTATCGAGAACGGGCATGGGGTCATTGTCACGCCCGAGCCACCGGCGCACGGCTCGTACTTCCGGAAGCACCAGTCCAAGAGATCGGCTTGGGCAAAGAGGTCGGAGGAGGAGGGAGGTGGCAGGCAGAGTGACAAGTCGATGGAGAACCTGCCCAACTTTTGCACGCTGCCGAGGAGGCCGAGGCACGCGGTGTCGACGTTCTTGACGGTCGTGTTTGAGAAGGGGCCGGGCAAGAAATCGCTCGGGTTCACCATAGTCGGGGGCAGGGATAGCCCCAAGGGGAGCATCGGTGAGTTTACACACTACGTTTCTGGGGATGATTCCGATTTCTGTGGTGCTGAGCTATATACATATATATTTGGTCATTGGATAGTAAAAGACAGAAATATCAGGCGCCACAGAAATCGTAATCATGCCCATGTCTGACGGTGTTGTAGGACATTGTGCAGTGGATTATTACTTCATCAGTTGATTGGTTTTTTTTTTTTTTTTTTTTTGTTATATAAAAAGTTATTTGTATTTCTGCTCCATCAGGTATCTTCGTGAAATCGGTATTGCTAGGCCAGGCGGCCGAGGATGGCCGATTGCGCGCGGGTGACGAAATCGTGGCAGTCAACGGACAGATATGCCACGATCTGACGCATCGCGAGGCTGTCCAGTTGTTCCGCAACATCAAGAATGGACCGATTGCGTTGCACCTGTGCAGGCGGATGCGGAGTTGCGAGACACAGTGAGTGTTGCGGTGTTTCATGTTAACATTGTGGAAACTATTTATTGAGTAAATATAATCATAATTTTTGTCTCTTTCAGAGCCATCAAAGCAAAGTCTTGTGCGGATCTTTTGATGGCCGATACGTGACAGCTACGATGAGTTGGTACGTTGATGCTCATTGGATCGTGGAATGTTTATTTTGTCATGTAAATATTGTAAATTGTATAATTGTTGAAAAAAATTAAAAATGCATTATTATGTGGACACTGATGCAAAATTTAATAAATACACGTTCATTAAATATCACAGTTATTTTTTTTTTTTCAATACACTTATTAACAAATTTCAAAAACATACGTATAGTTATTAATTTACGTATGATTCATTAACATCTGATTACAACAAAAATACTTAAGGGGACTCCAGCAAGCGCTGGTATCAACCCATAAATAATTGAATCAGTTGGTATCACTGCTGTAAGTATAATATGTGCGAGCACCATCATGTATGGATATGTATAGCTAGCAGCCCCTCCGTCTCGGCTTCGCCCGAGACTCACTAAATGGAACACCGTAGTGTGTTGACATGTAATGTGAAACGTTTTCAGTGAAAAATTATACATCTAGTTCTGACACTTCTCACAACAAAAATCTTCTTTTTAAAAAATATATTGATTCGGAATCCACACAGTTTATTTAGCCAAGTAATAAGCTGTAAAAATAAAAAAAATACAATTATGCTGAAAAAAACCGTGCGTTCCTTAAGCCATAAGATAATCATTGGCCATCAGGGACCGTTGATTTGCAGTTTCTCCCGCATAATTTACGAAAAGGGCTATTTTTTAAAGCTGTAAAGATTCAAAGCTCACAAAAAATTTATCATTACAAAATTTTTTTCTCTCATCTCACAACTTTATTACCAGAGCTACAAAGTCCTGGAGCTTAATCTCTACATTATTTATCGCAACAAAAATACAAATACATATTCTACCTATTTAAAAATCTGAAAGATTCAAGAGATTACTATGAGGGTTGTAGTGAAAAGCTGATCTCTCACTTAATAAATTCTTTCGTCATTTTCTTGACGCCTAAAATTGTATTCATAAGATGCATTTGAAGTTTTCCTTCTAATTTGACTTCTTGTGACTTTTGGCATAGTTGGGATTCCTGTGAGCCCTAAAGGCTATTTTTTTCAACTTTATTAGGTTGTAATATATTTGTTGGCAAGGTAGTTTGACGTCCGATGAACCTGAAAAGGACCGGTGAGCTTCTTAAGTGACGTCTTTCTTGACTGAAGTTTCCAGCAAACGTGACTGCCCAGATACCTCGGGGTTTAAAGCTTTGGAGCTAGTTGTAGAGCTCTTTTCCAACGTCTCCTGGTATAACGTCAAAGATGGTGTCTAAAACACCGTTTTTTTTAGACTCATTGGTTTTGGTGATCTAAAGTGGAAAGGTTGGTTCGTGATGCTTGCTTGTTGGTAACTGTCCCGTTGACTTACGTTTATTATTTTTTCTTCAAAGCTGTAAGGTTCTCCCAGCGCAGACCTTAGAGAGGATTGGTGATTCCTGGTTGAATGCTTAAAGTGGAGAGGGTAATATAGGGTTGTCAGTCACCGGGGTTTCCAGTCTTGCTACGAACAACTCTGCTCGTGACATCTGCCAGTGAACGACTGACTTGGTTTAATAGTGGCTGGCTTTACATAGTCTTTGAATTGACGAATCATCTTCGGAAATCGTAGTAAAAATGTACTTGTTGGCAAGGTAATTTGAAGTTAGGTGGCCCTTAAAAGAACCGATGAGATTGATGGTTAAGTAGGAAACGTAAATACTAAAATGGCCCTGAAAAGGGCCGGTGGTGAAACTTGTAGCTATTCCTTATTATTATTCTTGATGATGAACAGCCAGCTGCAGGTAGCTTGGCGCTTATCCTTTGAGTCTTTGTGTACAGAGACCGTATAGGAAAGGAAGTACGCCACTGACAAAAGAATATCTCGTCTTCAGGTCGTTCCCAGGATAACCAACCATTCAGCGGTAGTCAGGTTAGTGGGCCCTGAGAATACCTTCTCTGTAGATATGCCTCTGGGACGATCACTTAGGAGGCCGGACTTCCCGTACTCTTCAGGGCTGTCTTCCCTGGCTCTCATATGAAGTAGACTATTCTCTGATAGCACCAGATCAGATGGTTGAACGACCTCAAAGCTCTGAAGTGCTGGAGCAGGTTGTGCTCTGGCTAGAAACGTTTCCTGGTACTCCAACGGAGACGTTGACGTTCCGAACGCCTGTTTTTCTGTGGCACTCGTTTATTTCGGGGATCCGAGGTAACAACCAATTTATTTCGCTTGCTCATGAAAGAAGAGAGTCATCGGTACCCACAAAACATTGAGGTGACAACCGACACTGTCTGTTTTGTTGATTACATCTATAGTTATCTAAAAGATATTAATTAGTTATATAGAGAACAGTTATCGAAAAATGATGTCTTATAGTTGTTTTTTATAGACGTCTACGCGATAACTTTAAAAGGCAACTTAGTGTTATCTTTTTTACTGGTATTATTTTGAAGCGTTGTCAAAATGTTATCGAAAAAATTATTTTTAAAGTTATGTCCACGTTATCGAAAGAAAAGATGCCTTACAGTTGTCTTGTAAAAGACGTCTATGTGATAACTTTCAAAGACAACTTAGAGTTATATTTTTTGATCAATATCATTTTTAAGTGTTGTCAAAATGTTATCAAAAAAACAATTTTGGAGTTACCATATTTAATGTAGAAAATGATAACATTACGATAACTTACGATAAGTAAAAATGATATCAATATTTTAAATTCTTATTCAGACATCATTATGATAAAGCCGGTGCGATTGGTTGCGGTATATATATAGGGGGCGTACGGTTCTTATAAGTGGATTATAACCTCCTTCTTTCTTGCATCAGCTGTCAAGCAGGCCACATCGGATTCCGTTCGCTTTTTGTCCAGCTCTCTTCGTCAGAGGCATCATCAAAAGGTTGTATCATTTGTTTCAATATAATCTATACACTTAATCTTTTATTAATTTTTGTGCTCTCTGGCTCTTCTTCTTTTAACTCAAAAGTGGAATCAGTAAATTTTGATAGAGACCTTCTATTAAATCAAAATTTGTCATCTCAATTTATAAGTATTTGGTTTGTTTACAAATTTTCTAGTTCTAGTTTAAGCATTTATAACTAAAAAACATTGAATATTTTTCTTTAGGAAAAAAAAATTTTAAGCCTGGGAGGAATAAGTTTATCTAATACTATAAATAAGATTATACCTACCATTATAACATAAACTGTGTCGTCAACTAACTTGGTACGGTTTTCATGGAACTCTTGCTGTAAAGGATCTCCATTTTTCATCGATAATCATAAGTATGTATTTTGATTCTGAAAACTTATGTATTTTTTAAAATTTATTAATCGTTAACATTTTTATAGGTGCTACACGAAAAAAAATTGCATCTACTGTAACAGATGTACAAGAACGCATTAAAGATTGGTTGCGTAGACCATCTGACAGGCAAAAGAAAAGAGAGGAGTCAATCAACAGCCTATATTGTGACTAATTTTCTAATTGTGCTTGAACCAGTGATTCTTAAGTATGACATAAGTATAAAGTATTTTGTAATCGTAAAAAAACAATTGTAAAAAATACACTTTTAAAAATATCTATTATAATAAAGGCATCGTGCAATTAAAAGAACTATAGATACCTTTGAATTGAATGAATTGATTGATTAATTTATAATTTAAAGGCCATTATTCAAATGAATTATAAATTTGTTCAATTTAAAGGTATCTGTGGTTCTTTGAGTTGCGTAAATGCTACTATTATATTATTTAATACTATTTAAACGATACCCTCAAGATATCATTTAATTTACACAGCAGATAATCATTGAATTTAGCACCACAGATATCTAAAAGACATCCTTAATTCTTGCTCAAAAGACATCCATAAGAGATCAAAAACATTTACGGTATGACAACAGCAGACGTCTAAGCGTTATCAATTAGTTGTCATTAGCTGATGTTTGTTTGCTGACAACTGATAACAATACGATGTCTTATCGATAATAATTAGGCGTCAATTTGACATCTTGCCGATGTAGTTTTGATAACTTTGGTAGATATCAGCGGACAGTTCAATGATGTCGTATAGATGTCTTATTGTCACCTTGATGTTTTGTGGCTAGCCGGGATGCCCAGCTGCACGACAGACTTCTCTGTTCTTGGTGTAGTGCCGATGATCGACTGCAATGATTGTCTACTCGATAGAGCTTCTTATAACCACTCTTCACTATGTTTGGTTGCGGATGGCTTCAATTTTACCTCGACGCCACCTAGCGGATCCTACTGAACTAAGGTGCAAAGCTACTTTATTTTAGCAAAACTTTGAGCTTATTTATCGCTATTGTTATTAACTTTTTCACGAAAAAAACTATGTGAAAACCATCTCGGAATCATGAAGAATCAGTATGTAAAATTTCAGCAAAATCGGTTCAGTAGATTTCGCGGTTAGTGATTACAACGGTTTTAGTGATTTTGATTTTTATATATTAGTAAGACTGTTATGCTAAAAAAAGTAGATTACAATGACTTGATGAATACTTGACGGAATTGTCGAATTTTTCCAGAGTTACCTATATTTTGCAAGGTACCATCTGAAAGTTGAAACTTTTTTCTAGAAAACAGTTACCATCTTGATATGGAACTCCCACATTATGATTAGGAAATTAAAATGTATCTATGTTGCTTAATAAAAGATTGTGTACAATGTGCGATTTTTGAGAGTAAATATCTCAAAACTTTCCACGGTTAGAGTGATATAAAGACACCGCTGGATTTAGTGCATTCTTATCTATCAATTAAACTACCAACTACCTCTCAACTCCTCCCACTGGAGCTTAAGTTATTGACATTCATTACAGATAACTACCTTACGATCTGGGTTTTTTTTTTAAATATTGATGTCATCACAGTAACTTTTGGTGTATTTCGTTCTTAAACTAAAAACTTTTTAAGGAAAAAAAACTGTATCTTAAATAAATATACTATTTCTTGTGGATTTATTGATACGTGCGTGTTCGTGTGTGTGCGTATGAATGTATTATTTTACGAAATCCAGCATATTCTAAATGTTCAAAGGCAGGAAGGCTTTAAAAAGGGATATTAAATTTTTTAATTTCTTTTATTATTCATGACCGAAAACAGTCATTATCTGTTGAGCCTCACTGAATAGTTATTTACGTAACAAG